AATTTAAGGCTCCATTGTAATAGTTTATTTCACCAGAGACCTTTTAAAGTATTCTGGATCTTCAGACATCACTTTCAAACGGTGAAACAAAAAGTGAAATGAAAATTTACACTTTTGACGGTTAGTATTAAGTTTATGTAATTTAACAGAGAAGGTAGTGAGGAGTGGTGTGAGAGACATGGTCAAGCTTAGAGAGGGTTTATTTTTATACTACTTTCTATTATACTTAATATTGAGGAAGGAGGTGGTAAGGATCAGACATTGACCTATTTAATCGGTAAACTCAACAGAAATGATATGTTGAAAGGGAAGGAGAGAAAAGAGAATATATATATATATATATATATATATATATATTGACAGTAGGTAAGGTAAGTTTTTATAAGTATGCCCACAACAAAGTTTAAAAAAAAAAAAAAAATTATCTAAGTTAACCTTTGATTAAAATAGTCATTACAATTTTATGCTTACTTTTATTAACCACCAAAAAATTCTGTTGTCTGTTTTTGTTCAGTTCACCAATGCCACCAAGCAAAAATCCAACACAGGTATCCTGAAATATTAAATAATGAGAACAGATAATATATGTAAACAAAATAAAATTTCTATATGAGTTTTATAAAAGATGGTCAACAAGATAAGGCCTTTTAAATTTACATGTCTCTTAAGGAACTACATTCCTGTTCAATCCAAATTCATGAATAATTATACTGACATAACATTACAAACACATCCAGAAGACACAAATTACATCATTCTGTCCATAGCTCAATTAGGACCGATTTAAACATATACAGAAACCTACCAAACTCCATCAGCGACATTGTTGTAGAGTAGTTTTCACAGTGGAGGCTTGTATTACGCTAAGTTGGTCCTAAAAGGGTCCGACGTACAAAACATTAGGAACTTGAAATAAGAGTTAATGACGCAGCAATCTAGTTGGGATGGTTGATACTTCAATGTCTGACATTGACTGACTCACTCAACTCCACTGAGCTCAACAGGCAACCGCTACTACTACTTATTATGTGTGGGAGAGTCTATTAATAATAGAATAGGTACGTTCAGGTATAACAGACATACTCATAGAAAATACAACTATAGTAGCCTCATCCACATGTTAAAACAAACAAACAAACAAAAAAAAGACTTAAAATAATGGAAGCATTAATAATAAAAATCTACATATTCGGTTAAAAAACAAAAAAAGGAAATCCTTAATAATGGCTAACAGAATAGCCAAAAGTGCTTGAATATGTAAAAGATTTGGACACTTTTTACATACTATATGTCCAGAAAAGAAAAATTGAATAAAAGCTTAATCATAGTATCCTGTCGGTTGTCTTTAATGAAACTTGTATAAAAGAGGGATTGCTGCCCAAATATGTTTATATATATATATATATATTACACAGACACCATAAACAACATATATAGCCAGTTATGCTCCTTGATTTTCATTTTTTTTCATTGGTACAAAACATAAGCATCAACATGTGGAGATAGAAACAGTTAAAATCTTTTTGAAAAGCTAAGCGAAACTGGTTGAAGTAAAAAAAGTTTAAACAAAGGAAAACAACAAATTGTTTTTCTAAGACAAAAACACTGAAAATCCAATTGTAAGTAACAAATTTTTTATTCTTCTCTGTAAAAATTCATATATTATAAATAAATATTACTATATTAAATATTAGGTGCCTTTTATTTCCAATCATCATTTTAGTCTATATAATAAATTTTTGTACAGAATCTTTCTAATAAATTTTTTTTCACCTATATATATATATATATATAAATTGGAAATGTTTTCCAATTTCTTTTTGAATTTGTAGGTCTGATGAATTGGATTGTGATTGTGATTACGATTCCAATGTAATAAATTATAACCATGGAATATTAGTTTTTGAGCCTTTTATATTATATACTTACTTCATCCTGGACATTGAGTTCTACCTGGATTCTATCCTCTTGGGAATATATATATGTGTATGTATGTATGTTTATATGTGTGTGTGTGTGTGAGACAAAGCCTGTTGCATATCAAAGTGACTTAAGTTCAAATCATACTGAAAATACTTATTCTGTTGATTTGTGTTAAGCAACACTGAGTTTGATCAGTATTTTAGATGGGTGGCCAATTAGAAACACTAGTTACTGTAAATACCTTGTGCCCTTGTACTAAAAGATATATTGTATGGTAAATTACAAAGCAAAATTAATAAATAAATTCCCTTGAGCGAATATGACTTATCACTCTGAAAGTAGGTTCTTTTTCTGATCAATCTAGGTTACTCATAGTTTGTGAATGTCACAACAATCTAAGCAATATCATACCTGGTCAATACTTAGATGGGTGACTGCTTACAAACACCACTGACTGTTGCAGACAAAGCAAAACATAGTAAATAAGTTGTCACATACCAAGGTAAAAATGACTGACATTGCTTGTGGTAGAGTGAGATTTTTGTTTCAAAGTAAGGCTTAATGCCAAAAATCAGGTCAATTATAATAACCTTAACTAGAAAAAAAATTGGAGGCCTACTGCTAGAAAAGGTGGTTCACTGTGTCATGCTAGACAATTTTTCTCTCCAGAATCTATCTTACACATTTATAAGTCTACCATTCATCTATACATTGAATATTGCTGCCAAATCTGGTCTGGTGCTTCTGTTATGTATTTAGAGATTCTTGATAAAATCCAAAGAAGAATCTGTAATGTTATTGGTCCTGACCTGGCATCTAGGCTTCACTCCCTTTCTCATCATCATAATGTAGCTTACATGTATCTTTTCTATAAATAGTTTCATGGCAATTGTTTTGATGACCTTTCCTCTTTGGTATATAGATTTTATGAATTTAAGTGTACTACTAGACTGGTGGCAAGGTCTCATCATTTTACAGTTGAAATGGCAAGATGTAATCATAAGTTCTATACTAACAGTTTCTTCTCTCACTTGGGGATCTCTCTTTTGGCTTTTTGCTTTCCAGTCAAGTTTAAGGTTCAAAACTTTAAATGCAATGTCAATTGTTCTCTTCTGTCTTCTTAATTCCTGTTCTTTTATCATTCTCTCTTTAATAACGTTTCCTTTTCCTCACATTCTCTCACACTCAGTAGCCTCCTTGTTGTCTTAGTGGCTTTATTGCCCTGCTTGGGGTAAAATGATTATTTTTTTTTATTAACAAAAACTATCAAATACTGTGCCTTTTTATCTTGAAAGTAATACCTGCTTGCTACTTTATTTGAAATTATTAATCAAAATTTGCTTTTTATATCACCACAGAGTAATTCTTACAGTAAGTAAGAATCTATGTAAGTTTCTGTCTGCATTTCAGGTGTTGCAGAACAAATGGATATGAAGCAGTGAACAAAAAATAATTCTTGACCAATGAAGTATTTACTCGATCCCCCCCCCCACTAGGACGAGATGTGACACAAGGTCTTTTTAAAGTGGGGACCCTAGTGCGTACACCCGGACAAGAGACAAAAATTGCCCATAGCCCCCGCAACCATTGGTTGCGCTGACCTTGGTGCAAGCGCCGATCTCTCCCTTTGATGCAATGGGAGGGCGCAGCCTCAGGCAGCTGTTCCCCATGGCTGGGCACCTCTCATTATAATTTTCTCAGTTGCTCCTCTGTCCATTGTCTGAGAAGCCCCTGAGCGCACTCTGTCCAAAGACAGAGACACAACTGAGAGAGGATAAGCCTGCATTAGAAACTCCTCCAAGGATGTACTTCTGGTGACTCACACAGAAGATTCAGAAATGTGGGTACGGGGGGGGGTTAATTGATGAGATTAATGTGCCAAAATGGGTGAAAACAATTTACAGAAGGTAAAACCAGTGTTGAAGACAATCTTCATGGTTGATTAAATGGCAAAAAGAGTTTTATCCAAAATGAATTTGGTAAAGCAAAAGTTAGGTAAGCTGTCAAAAGAAGACAAACGAACTTAAGGATAGTTGTACAAAAACAAATAAATACTAATACAGAAAAACTTGGCAAATGTGGGAAAAGTTGAAAGAAATAATAATACATATATAACTTGAAATAAATATAATAATCATAATATATCAACAAGATCCAGAGACGGATATGCAATGTGATTGGCCCTGATCTGGCATCACAGATGTGTTGTTGCTTCCCTCTGCCTTTTCTACAAATACTTTCACAGTAACTGCTCTGACGAGCTACTTTCACTGGTTCCCACACTGCATGAATTTAAATGTGCTACTAGGTTGGCATCTCAATCTCACCCTTTCACTGTCAAAATGGTTAAATATAGCCGTCTCTTCTGCTCCAATAGCTTCATGTCTTGCACTCCCCATCTGTGGAAGTTATTTCCTCTTACAGCTATAATCTCTAACTATTCAAATGCAATGTCAATTGACATCTCCAGATGCATTGATCTATTCCCTGTCCTTCTCTTCATTCTTTCCTCTATCACGCCTCTTTACCGTTGCTCCCACTCTTTGTAACCCCTTGCGTGCTAGTGTCACTCCCGTATTGCTTGGGGTGAAATGCTTAATATATAATAAAATAAATAATAATAGTGAATCAGCAGTCCTAGAATGATGACAGTAGTGATCAGGGGATCACTCCAGAAGACTAATTATCATGTTACATGCAACCAAAGGAAAAATAAATATGGCCACTCAAAACAACTGAGAGAACGATATTATGTTGGTATGCATTCTGCTGTAGGCGGAGATAGTAAAAAGATGATTGGTTTGGTTGTTTTTGTTTAGCAGCCTCTATGGGTTATTTAATGTCGAAATCTAAATATTTTGTAATTTTATTTTTTTGGGGGTGGGGAGATATAATAATGGTTTTAGTGATACAAGTCTTACTAATTAACCCATAGCTGGAGGGAGAAGAGGTGGATTCATACATTTCCCAAAGGTATTTGCACATAAGTGAATATAACAAATACAATGGGATTTGGAACTCAGCTCTCCAATTAACAATTCTGAGCCATCATCCATTACACCACATGCACATCTAAGCTTACAGCACCTGGTATTCCCAAGTGGTCACCCATTTAGGTACTGACTAGTCTCAATGTTGCTTAACTTCAGTGATCGTATGGGTGTTTCTAGTCATTCTACTGCTTTGTACAAGGATGAAATTTATGACTACCAATTAACAACATACCAATCAAATAGTGGAATCTATCTCTATTGGCTGAACAAAAGGTTTTGCTTAAAATTCCCAGAAGGTTACAAGATACAACAGGCCTGTAACTATAACAACCAAGATGTGGACACCTGTTCAAATGAATCAGTGTATAATAAATAATTCAGTTTATTTAAAGTCAGAAAATATTTTTATATTGTAAGAATTAGGGGGGATGATAATGATTTTAGTGATACAAGTCTTACTAATTAATCCATAGCTGGAGAGAGAAGAGGTGGATTCATACATTTCCCAAGGATATTTGCATGTAAGTGAATATAACAAATACAATGGGAATTGGAACTTGGCTCTCCAATTAACAATTCTAAGCTATTATTCATTACACCAATTGCACATCTAAGCTTACAGCACCTGGTATTCCCAAACAGTCACCCATCTAGGTACTGACTAGTCTCAATGTTGCTTAACTTCATTAATCGTATGGGAACCGGTGTTTCAACATGATGTGGCTGTAAGTGTAAAAAGATGTTTATCATAATTTATCTTATAAGTGTAAAGAGATTATTACTGCCATCAAACATTTTTTTTATGTAAGGTACATTAACAATATGAATAAAGAAAAATAACTTTATTTGATTAGCTATAATTATAATTAAAACAAATTTTTTGCTTAAATTTTGACAGATTAATTAGTGAGAGAATTTTAAAAAATTTGTTATGAATAAAAAGAAAAGAAAATGAATTTGAATCATGGTTAGTCTATATTACATTCTTCATAAACCAATATAAGATCCAGTTGAAATATGAAGCATAGTTTTTTTGTTTATTTTTTAAAATAAAATCAGTCATTTTCTTTTATTTTTGCCTTTTAAAAGACACTGAAAATAATTAATAAAATTAGAAGAGTTGTCTGCATAGCAAACACATAAAACACCACAACAGAGAAAATCCTAAGGCAGGTTTATTTTTATCTCCAAATGTTTACTTCTCACTTCATTAAAATCCATAACAGCTGACTCTCTCTCAGACTGCCTTTGTAACGCATAAACAAAACCATACACAATATTAAAAAAAAAATCAATCGGTAATATAACATGAAATATGATTTCAAGTATATATAAATAATGAATAGATGTCTTCTACAGCCTTGAGAGCATTCAAAATAAAACTGTCATGTCAATACAGGTAAATTGCTGAACCAGATGGTATTGAAAGATATTGTTTAGTCATAGTAACAAAGATATTTAAATGTTGGAAGATAAAGCATACTTGACATATTGTCTATAACTCTGAGAAGAGTCATTAACATATCTGACATTATTCAGATGGCATAATATGCATTAAATCTTTTATTCTTGGATTGTCTAAAGTGGCATATAGAGACAATAGATATGTGTTGGAAGCATTTACCTGAACTTGTTGGTTTAGAACAACAATATTCCTCAGTGGATCAAATAAAAAGGCATAGGTTCAACAATCCTTTGGTAGAGCACAGGACTTCAGAGATAGGGGAATAAGAAAAACATACACCTGAGTAGATCAAATAAATAGACATTATATATAATAAATCCTCTATGTGTTGTGGAGTAAATAAGACAATCCCCACACAAATGAACAATGCAAGATGCTTTAAATAAAGAACTCAATGTGTGTCAAGGGAAGTCCAGTGGAGTCAGTTGATGAGAATTTCTAATGTCACAGTGAGTAGCCTAAGCAAGACATAGTATTATAACCACTAGGAGTGAGTTATAACACCCCGAAACCCAGGTTCAAATCTCTCCATTGTCTATTTGTCAGAGATGCGACCTTTGGATAATATCAGCCTGGGGAGATGATCTCAGAAGGCGACACATTTAGTAAGTGTCTAAAAACCACACTACAGGTTGACCCAAGCCTTGTGTGTAAAACTAGGTAGATGGAACTGTTTAGAAGCCACTGATGGTTGTGCTATGACAAAGTTACATGTCACTGTGACCAAGCGTCAGAGCATGTTGGCCTTCTTCAAATTGTTGATCCTGCAAGATTATGCACTCTTCAAGCAGAAACTGTAACTGTGGTCCACTCAATATAGTTGCAGTATAAACTATAGGTTGACTGAAAGTATTGAAGAAACACAGTGATATGTATCATCTTACTTATTATAAAACGCAGATTGTGTGTGCGTGTGTCTGTCTGTCTGTACGTTTATATATTGGATCGGATTTCCTACATTTTTCAACCGATTTCAACAAAACTTCACTTTTTTTTGGCAGGTAGTGTTTCTTATTGTATTGCACACTTTTTTCTTTATTTTTACATTCAGAATGCTTTAAAAATTCCATTTACAATACAATTGTTTATAATAAGATTCTATTCAATCGGTAGACTCATAATGATTGAAAACAATGTTTTTGTTTGAGTTTGACCAATTCGTAAAAAAAAAAAAAAAAAAAAAAAATAAAACTAATTAAGACATGCATGTCCGTCAACCTTAAACAATAATCTCATAAATAATAGTCTCATAAACATCTTCATGGGATGCATATTACAGAGTGAGAAGGTTAGGCATAAAAATTAATACTAATGAGCTTGATCCTTACTGATTGCTCCATTTTTGTGACTGTACCAGATTAAACTAATATCTATATACCTTGATGGCTAAAATTATTAATAAATATGATCCTCATTGGGAGGTCCATATTTGTAGCCTTGTGTCAGACTAAACTACTTCACGATGTTGGTGATCATGGCTCTCCACAATTTCTTGTCTCTTGCAGCTCTTAATAAATTTTGCTTTTGTTATCGCTCCTAAATCCTGTTCTTCCATCCATTTACTCAAGCTCACTAGGTAGCTTATGCATTGTTTTCCTGACCCTCTTGCCATCAATATATCCTGTGAGTATCAAATTTTCCAAGCTCTCTTTCCTCATTATGTGCCCTAGAAATTTCAACTCTCTCTTTCTGATGTCAAGTGTCCTTTTTGTTTCCATTTTCTTTAAAACTGTCATTACTCACATGTTCAGTCCATGGTATCCACAGAACTCTTCTTGTAGAGCCACATTTCAGTTGCTTCTTAATCTGTGAGGAGATTGTCCAGTATTCACTGCCATGTAGGAGGATTAACATTATGTAACAATTCAGTACTTGTTTGGTTGTTAGTAATGAAATTTTCCAGTTTCTTAAGCTTTTGAAAAGCATCTTTCAAAACCCCAATGTACCTTTTGCATTTCAGTGTTGCACTTTCCATCCTCTGTTAAAACACTTCCCAGATATTTAAATTGTTTGATTTTGGGATCATCAATTTGTAATTTTCACATTGGGCTGTTCCTTTTGCTAACTTACATTCTATCTTCTTGCAATTAAAAAATAAACAAATACAAGGGCACATAACCTGTTTTTAACACTTGCCTGTATGAAATTTCTTAGGTGAAGCATTGCTATTAATATTTTAGTATTTATTAAATGAAAGGCTAATTGAAAATTATACTATTATTCTATTGTGAAGTACATGTTTAGAATCTAGTTTGATCTTATATTGCAGTGTCTAAAAATGAAGCATCTAAAATAAGTGTATTCTCAGAATGTGCAGTAAACATCCTCATTTTGTCCAGTAATGAAGAGATCTTATCTAAAACCACATTTCAAGAAAAAAAAACAAAAAAAACATGGCTTTTTATATGACAGAGATTGATTGATTTGATCAACTTTTTGTGGGCTATTTAAAACAAACATATTTAGGATTGTAAGAGTGATATGTCCCGGAAAGGGATATATTTGAACGAAGTAGCTAAGTGGTTTTGGCTACTATAACCAAATAGAATATGGTAGCAGTAATCGACTGGTACACGTCGTAGTCGCAGGTAAGAAGTGTAGATCAATGGCATAGTCCAATGGGCATCAGTATAGACTTAGCTCTCAAACTAAGGCTCTTTGACTCTCCTACACGTCTGTTGGTATTTATGACAGACACCAGCCAATCATATTCCAGTGAGGGGGAACACAGGTGTATGCATATTCCATTATATCAAAGAGGATGCTTGTAGTACCCAATGTTTCCAAATGGTCTTCCATTTCTATCTAAGTACTGACCAGGTTTGATGTTGCTTATTTTTGTTTATTGAATGAGAACTAGTGTTTTAGTGTGATTTGACTGTAGGTGAAGGATTGAGGGATATTATAGAACATTGGTTGGAGAAATTGTACAGTGAGCAAACAAGTTCAGATGCAACAAGTACTTCTTAAGCAGTATCATAAAAAGATTCTGTTACTTATCCGAGTGTCTCAACAAGTTTATCTCTTAATATCTTTCATGCTTTATTTTTATTCATTTTATTTTAGATGTATAAATTTATATCTAATATACATATAACCATCCTATTCTTTCAGTAGTTGCAGAGTAGTGTGTGCATTATATATATGTATGTATGTATGTATGGATTCTTCTGTTAAGAATGATGTTTTTTTTTAACTGAACAACCTGCACAAGTTAATTGCAGAAAATGTTTTGTATTTCTTGCATCCTGTAATGCATACTTTCTCCATAATAGGGCCATGTGCTGCACTGACTCTCAGTGTTGACTACAATGTCCACTTAGAATATATATATATATATATATATATATATATATAAAATTCATCTAATACAAGCCTTGACAGTCACTCAGTGAGAGGGTTACTGATAAAAGGAAGGATTAAAAAACGTGTGTGTGTGTGTATATATATATATATATATATATAAAATAATCAAAAATTACTTTTGTCTTTCCGCTTAATAATAAACATTTAGACGATATAAAATTATTTTCATCAAGTTTGGTGCCTTTTTTCATCAGAGTATGCTTCTTTTTTTTTTTTTTCCTTTTTTTAGCGAATTAATTGAGATACCTAGCCAAATGTCTAAGAGTCGTTCACATGTTTGTACATTTTCTAGACATCTATCTATGATAGAAATACAAAAGTAAAGGGACAGGTTTGCCAGAATGAACTTTTAATATAAAGCCAAAGAATAAAAGCCAAAAAGTTTTATTTCATCATTTTTCACCCTTAAAATAAAAGCTAGTGATACAGGTCGTTATTACTTTAAAATTAACATTCTTCTTATTTTTTCAAATATGCATTTTCTATCCTAAAACACATCAAAGGCACATTTTCTATTATCCTTCCCAATATACATTTTGAGCCGAATTTGATTCTCAAACGTTACTTTTTTTGCAGATAGAACACATTGACACGGGACGCGTAAAAAAAGTATCAATTTTTTTCAGCATGAACTCACCCACCGCTGACTAGAGATCAAAAGGACCCTTTACTTTTAAAATTGACATGTAAATAAAAATTTCTCTAATTGTTCAAATTTTAAAAAGCACTGACATTTTTTAAGATTCAACTCAAATTATTTTATTACTGTAAAATAATTTATTATTTTCCTTTCAATTACAAATTCAATGAGTGAATTAATTTATCTTTGACGGAGATGTTTAGTTTACTTGGCTCTGATGCCTTTTATCTTGGCTATTCCTCTTTTATTTTGGAGT